CAGATGTACCTCAGAGTGAGATTTTATTATGTAACAAATGTATGCTGACACTGACACACCTATGTTTACAGGAGTCCACTTTAATGATGTACTTTCATTAAGTCACAATGGCTAAATAAGTTGTTGTGGCTCACACTGATCACTAACAAGTAATGTATCCCAGTTGGCTGAATAGTTAAGTGGTTGTTAACTTAATAATTCCAAAGGGTGATGATTCTGCATCCTACCACTTGAAAAGACTGGGAATGGCCTCCATGTAGGAGTGCCCTGTTCTGGAATAGTAGACACTTCAGGACTCCCATCTTCCATCATAATTTGCCTCCCTCAAAATCCTCCATTAGCTCATTTCAAGTAGGTGTCAACACTTTTATTATATTTCAGTATCCTGTTGCACTGGGGCACAATTTTAAATTGTAAACTACCCTGTCTCTAATGCAACAAAGTTAGTCCTTTCTTAAAGGACACTAACATATAACTAACATATAATTCACTAAAAAGTGTTTGTTAAATATTTTAAAATGTCATTAACTATGTACATGGTTATATACTAAAATATATTTAGTTCACTAAAAATTTTTTGTTAAATATCATTAACTATGCACTTGGTTAATGACATTTTAAAATATTTAACAAACACTTTTTAGTGAATTAAATATATTTTAGTGTCTTTTAAAGAAAGGACTGGCTTTGTTTTATTACAGATGGAATACTTTACAATTTAAACTGGTCAATACTTTTACACTTCCCAATCAGCTACCTTCCTCAGGGAAATCTCGACCTTAACCCTCGACACAACATACAGACCCATGAGGGATAACTCTGAAAGTGTCGGTTCAAGAAACTCCTACTCCAGAATTAATGAGTGCATGAATCTATTAAATCTCACATGAAAAAAAAAACATTGAGGTCTTAAAACTTCATAAAATTCTAAGAAAGACAACCTATGCTTCCAGCCTTCCCAGCAAGACCTGGCCTAAGTTGGCACAAGGGTGCAAGAATGGGATCCTCCCTCTTCTGGATTTCCAACATGTGTGAACACATGTTAATCACTCTTGGCCATACTGGGCAGTTACAATATAAGGTGGATCTACTTACAGTATATTGATTCATTACACTCTGAATGGAGTGGGTAAGTCGATTAGTGCTCCACTGGCTATTTTGATTAAGGGGTGGGTCGTTCGTATGGGTTTGTTCACCATGATAAAGTTTGTTTAAAATTTCCATTTTTATCTTGGAGGGTTAGAATCTTATGTTTTCCCATAGCACTCATTTTAGCATATAGAAAATAAACTACTACTAAAACAAACACAAATAAAAAGTAAGCTTACTGAAACACTAACATCCACTGTTCATGTAATGTAGAAACTCTTAGGTTAGTTCTCTGAGTATGTATAATCTCATGGCCTATTTTCTAGATCTACAATACTTTGACTTTAAATCTCTTTTGAAATCGATGTGAGGCCTACATGAATATTACCTATGCTAGTGATAGTGACATCCGAATTAGTGGGGTTTCACTACATATATCATCTTCATCGTCCTTTAGCTCCCACTGGAGCAAATGACATTAACAAAGTGTTGCCATCTCACATGCTTCTTGCTGTCTCCCCATGTCTTCCCAACAGCCAAGTCTTCCTCTCATATTGTTCTCTACCAACTCCTCTTCCTTCCCTTTTTCCTTCATCCCTGTGGGTTCCACTCCATAGCCTCCTTCTCAACTGCAGTTTCCTTTAAAATAGTGTGGCCAATTCAGTTCCATTTATGTCTGGTTATCTGTTCAGTTATTTTTATTTCATTTGCCTGTTTCCATAGTTCATCATTTGTTATTATAACTGGCCATCTCACCTTCAGTCTTCTATGGAGCCATCGATTTACAAAATTTTGTAATTTTCTACATATTTCCTGGGTGACTCACCATGTCTCACATCCATATAACAGAACTGATTTCAAATTACAGTTGAAAATTCTTAGTTTTGTTCTTAATGAAATATCACTTGATTTCCAAACTTTCTGTAGGTGAGTAAAAGCCCCATTTCCTTTAGAAATTTTATTTCTTACATCTCCCATACTACCACCCTCCTTTGTAACTATACTACCAAGACAAGGGAATTTATTAGCATTAGCATTAGCATTAAGTATTTTTATTTTTATTATTTATGCTCATTGCTTATATATAAAGTACATTAGAGGCTGAACTTTTTTTCATGGATTATATTCAAGTTCTCTAGGGCTAGCGAGATTTCTGTTGTTAAGTAGATGGAAGAATTTTAGGCTCAATTGGAAACCACTGTGGGAAAACAAGTTGGAAAACCATACAAAATTTTACAAAAGGCTTGTAAACTAGTAGGAGGTTACTGTGGGATGTCTAATTATATTAATATACAACAAAATAGCAACAAATCCTATTATTTCACCCAGTGGAATATTTCTCCAATTACTGCTCTGGCATGTGGTGAAAGGTGGTGTTGGTTTGAGGGAACAAATGTGCATATTTGTTGTTCTCTGTCACTAGTAGGATTAGAAATGCTGTGGGGGAAGGGGGAGGGAGGGAGGGAGGAAGAAAAAAGAAATACGGTAAAAAGAAACTGGTGTAGCATCAGATGGAGGGGTGTGTTTTGGTGACTAAAAGTTCACAGTATTCAAAGACTGGCAGCCATGGATTATCACTAGTTTCTTTAACTTTCAGCCAGTTCTTGTCAAAATCATTCTTAATGTCATCTTTACTTTGGTTTTGCCCACCAACATGATTCATCACATGCCTGCTGGGGGCAGCAGTGAATCTTCTTTGTTGTGGTGGGTATGGAAGAATGGAATCAATCGTCAGTCCACAAATCAATTTTTACACATATTGTTACTTTCATCAATTCCCTTGTCTCTTACATGGCTTGTCATTTCATATATGCATGGGAGAATTAAACTTTAAATCCCCACAATGCAGGAAAATTTCACTACACACTATGAAACACACACCATGCAGTGCATCATAAATTAATTTTCATAAAAGATCAAGGAAAAATCAATTATAGATCAAAGCAAGATGCAGTGAAACCTCACCAATTTGGAATTCGTGATAATTCAGAGAAGACCTTGATGATCACATTGCTGTGACCAGTGATCACAAACTGCCAAGTGTGGTGCTAGTGTAGATGGTGGTACATACATTTAGGCCTCACATCAAACATGAAGGCCAATTTAAGTGATATTCAAAATCAAAGCATTCCAAGCATAGAAAATTGACTGCAAAAGAGTAGATACACAGAGCACTAGCAGTAAAAAAACATACAAAAGAGGAACACAAACCAAAAAAATTAATTCTTATATAAAATCTCAATAAAACTAAGTACAAGGTGGTTCAAATATGACCGGGACTGATTTTAAAAAAAACTATAATTGCCAAACATTTACTTGCACATGTCAGTCTTCAATGTACTCCCCTCTGGAGTCAACACATTTTTTCCAACATTCTGGAAGCATTCTGATGCCCTTTTCAAAACAAGTTTGTGGTTGGCAGCATATCCACTCCCGAACAGTCTGGATGACAGCATATCCACTCCCGAACAGTCTGGATGACAGCATATCCACTCCCGAACAGTCTGGATGATGGCGTCGTCGTCCACAAACCACATGCCTTGCAAGTCTGATTTGAGCCTTCCAAACAGGGAGAAATCACCTGGGGCCAAATTGGGACTGAACGGCGGATGTGTCAGAAGGTTCCATTTCAATTTCCGGAGGGTTTCCATTGTTATTTTAGCCTTATGGAAGCATCTGCCAGAAAGTCTACATGGATAACCCCCTGCCAGTCCCAGAAGAATGTTGACATCACTTTTCCTGCTGAATGGCTCCTCATGGGTTTGGGAGAACTGGTATGCCGCCACTTGCGTGGTGACTGCTGGGACTCGGGAATGAAGTCGTGCACCCACATTTCATCGGTGGTCACTACAGACTTCAAAAATGCATCACCTTTGTCTTCAAACTGCTGTAGGAGATGACTGGCAGCTTGCACGTGCACCATTTTGTTCACGTCTGTCAAAGTGCATGGTACCTTGCCATAGTGCAGTGGTATTTCACAATGTCTTCTACACTACCAACACTGATGGACAGCATTGCTCCAAGTTCTTTGATAGTGATGCGCCTATTCTCACGAATAAGCGTGTCTGCATGATCAGTGTTTGACTCGGTGACAGATGTTCACGGCCGACAATGATGCAGTTCATTCTCCACGCGCTCTTTGCCCTCTCTGAAGCACTTACACCACTCAAACACATGGGTCTGTAAGAGAGACACTTCCCATACTGTTGTTGGAGTCTGTGGTGAATTTCAGTGGACGGGACGTTTTCTCCAAGGAATTTGATCACAATGCGTTGTTCCACGCTCCGCAGTACCTTCTGTTCACTCATCACTCTAGCAACTCCCAGACAGGACTGAACAGTTTCTAACCCAAACAGGGGGGGGGGGTGGAGGTTGTGGCTTCTCTCTCTCAAAGTTGCACAGCTGCTGCGCAGTGCGGCTTGTTTACATACAGATCATTCCTGGTCATATTTGAACCACCTTGTAATTTATTTTATAATATGCAATCTAAGTTCCAAAATAAAGTTGTATTGCCTAAAAAGTCCATTTTATAACATCCTTGAACATATTTTCAGTAGCACTTCTATAATTCGGACTTTCAGTAATTTGGACAAGGGTTCATTCCCAATTAGCCTGAATTAGTGAGGTCTTGCTGTATAATGAAATGAGATCCAAGCAGGAGGTTCAGACTGCATGTAATGATTCTTGCTGCAGTCTAAGTGACAAGATGGAAAATAAAAGCACATAAGAACTGTGGCCTACAGATAGGTCTGTGGCACACTGTTCAAGACCAGTGGTGGCATATAAATAGGCCAACCTGACACTGATAGGGTTAAACAATTTCCAAAGCGCTCTGAATACAAAAATTTGGCATGTTGTATGGTAAACCACTTGTAATAAAATAATCCACAGTATTGACCATAAAATTACCATTATTTGGGATAAACATTTATTTGTTTAAGCATAAAATATAAAATGACAACATATTCAGGCAAAACTAACCTTTTCTAAAAAATGACTATTTACTAAGAAAAGTTCACATTGCATATGAGCCATGTGTTGTAGACATGGCAGGACATGTTGTTGGTCATTAGGTAGCCTGTGTGTATCAGTGATATTGGGGAATGGCTACAGTTATGTGGTTGCTATTTTCATGTTATAACAGATTGTGCAGTAAGTTACTTGTATATAATATGTCTCGAAAATGGCCATCAAGTTCAAGAACCTCAAATCTTACAAGTTTTCTTAAGTTTATTTTTATGTATGCATTATTATTTCTGATGGTCAAAAAGAAAATATACTTTTATATAAATGTTAACTGTAAAACTGTTTGTAGGAACACACCCTTTATAATATGGGAGTCAATGAAAAAATGGAATCTGTGTTATGGAATTTTGCAATATAGACACATTTTCAGTAACACATCCCTTACATACTCATTATTCAGAATCACTGTCTGGACTTGAGATTTGACTAGCATAACAACAGGTGTAACAGCCTGAGATTTTACTAAGGGGGAACTAGAGCCAAATTAGTATCACTATAATCTCGATGGTTTCATCATGGCAGTGGCTGAGAACAAGCACAAAGTGATTATGACTCTTTGTATTTCTGAGTGACCAGCTGCAGCAAAACACATAAATATGCAGTATTTTACTGCATATCATTATAATGTACCTATATACAGATACTGCAATTATCAAGATGGTGGTTCTTGATGTTTTCTATATTTTGCAAATTTGAATATCTGGTCCCTGTGGTTGTATATATATTGTGCAAGTTTAGGAACACTTCCATATGTGTCTGCACGTGAGCCTCTACACATAGAAAATTGAACATCATCTAATTTGGGGTCACAGTCTACAATGTGAAACACGTGTACAAGCTGAGGATCTGCTGCACGGAACACTGAGAAGTTTGCTGCGACAGATACAAATTTATCAAACAAGTTAACATCCTCTTTACCCCAGCCACGGATCCCTGTATCAAAGCCCCCTACAGATTTGAGATCACTTTTGTACACACTAACAATACCATAACCGAATTGCCGCCAATAACCACTATTTTGATCCAGTATGAAATGGTTTCTTAAAGGGGTAGCCCCTTCATGAGAAAAGTTTGGATCATATTCACTAAACACTATAGGGAAGTAAGCTTGCTTCCCTTTTATTGTGTTTGTTCGTATCCTGTCGAGTGTTTTGGAAGTGAACACCATATCAACATCAACTAAGAACAAGAGGTTCTCCACTTTGTCATCATACTTGGCTGCACCTAATTCTAGGGCTTCTGCTCTAGCAAAGGAACCTGATGCAGGAACTATATAGATCCCTGAAAGTGGATACTTCTTTTGAAGTCTTTGCATCAGATTTATAGAATTGCTGAAGCTCAGTGGTTCTGTAAGGCTGGGATACAGAACCAACATGAGTGTAGTTTTCTGATCATCTTGAAGACAAACATCTTCATACACAGACAGAAAACGTTGGAAAGCATCAATTCTCCCAGATAATGGGAGTATGAAATTGATGACTTTGTCCCTTATCTTGTTCAAAGCCTTTTTAGTTTCATGTGGACTCAGAGCTCCTGGAAGAACTCCTATTTTTAATAGTCCATTCTCAAAAGCCTCTCTGAAGGTTGACTGCACATGATGTGATTCCAGTGGATCTTCATGGACCGAATCATTTTCCTCCTCTTCATGTGGTTTGACATGTACTTCTTCGCCATCTACTGTTTCACGAATTTCAAGCCCTGGAACATTTCAGTAGCAATATTAGTACTACATGTCAGTTTAAAGTATGGAAAGAACAATGAACTATTAGAATAATGTGGAATTCAAATGGTATCAGTAATGGAGATTACTACAGCATTCTAAAATGTGACACAGTTCAAGATAATAGGGATAAAATGACTGAATGTCTAGCATGCAAAATGAATGCATTTAAAGATTAAAAACAAAAATATTATAATTTTATAGGGATATATATGAATCAAAGAAGGAGTACCAGCATATGGTGAACTTGGACAGAGATGAGAATGGTAATATACAAGTGTATTAATATAAACAATAGATATATATTTAAGCACAAAGAAGTGGGAAATGTATTGGTTATTTGCAGATCTTCAGAAAGCTTTTAATACTGTGGTGAGGGTGGCTTTATAGTGGAAACTGGATAAAAAAGGCAAATCAACTAAATTTACTGAAGGTTTAAAGGAAATAATAATGATAATAGGATAGGAGTGAAGTGGGAAGGCAGTTACATGCTAGAGGAGTTAGTTAGATTCATATGCTGGGTAAAGATAATGTTGCACATCATTTCCAGCTTTATTCAGCACATCTATAGCTGATGTACTGAAAAATACTGGATGAGGCCAACACCTATCCTCCAGTAATGCTGAGGAAACAGGTATCAGGATAACTTTTTGCAGATGACCTAGAAGCAGGTACACTAACTAGTACAGGCTAGAAAAGGGCAGTGAATTGTATAGAGCAATTCTGCAAGGAATGGAAGATGAAATAGATGTAGAGAAGAAAAAGATATTACTGTTTAAGAAATAAGGAAAATTATGTACGAGGGAGAGTCAGTAAAGAGGTCATAAAGGGATATTAAACATAAAACAACTGTATTTATTTATCGCATTTATTTCTCAGCATATCCTTCACCAACACTGATACACTTGTCCCATCACTTTACCAGTGCATCGAAACATACAGCACAGAAGTTTTTTGACTGTCATCTCAGGGATTTCTGCACCTCTGTTTCAACCTCTTCATAACTGGCAAAAGCTTTGCCACTAAGGTGGTTTTTTAATGGACCAAACAGATGGAAGTCACCAGGGGCGAAGTCTGGGCTGTAAGGCAGAGGTTCAAGAAGTTCCAACTGTAGTTCTTGAATTCTCCTGGGTTACTTGGGCTGTATGAGGTCTGGCACTGTCATGATGAAGCAGTATTCTTCTTGCCAGTTGGCCTGGAAGATTTCTGCAAATTGCATCCCAAAGCTTCTACAGAACTTCACAGTATGATTCAGAATTCACATTTTCACCACGCTTCTGAAAATGTGCTAACAGTACTCCCTGAGAATCAAAAAACACATAAGCATCACCTTCCCAGCCGTTGACATACTCGTAACCTTAAACCTTTTGGTTGAACGTGAACTTGAATGTTTCCATCGCATTGAAGCATGCTCTGATTCATGTTGATAGTGGTGCACCCATGATTTGTCCGAGGTAACAATCCTGTTAGACATATCTTCACCTTCATCTGCATACTGTAAGAGATGTTGCAAGGAAGACCCATTTGCTTCATTTTTCTCGTCGATCCTTCAGTTCTTTGGGCACCCACCATGTGCACACTTTCAGAAACTTCAACTGATCATGCATTATGCTGTATGCTAAACAATGGGAACACCATATTGTCTATTGTTTTCATCCTGTCAGCTTGAATCAACTCTTCCACTCATTGTACAATCACTTCTGTCACAATATAAACAGGACAACCTGGTTGGGCATCATCTGTGACTTTCAAACGTCCTTTAGAGAATTTATCAACCCAACTGTGAACTGTTTAATGCAACAAACACTTCCCGATGTAAACAGGAAACGTTTGTTTATGAATATCCTTTGCATTGAGTACAAGAGATTGCTGCTCTTCGGTAATATACTCCTCAAGCACGGTCACCATTTTGACTACAAAAGCCAACCTCTTAACATGTGCAGGTGCATTTACTACCTAGACTGTCTTGAAGCTGAACTTTGCTTCTACCCACTGATGCACATAGAAAACCATATAAAACATCCATTACAGCTGTTTTATTTCGATTTGTGACCTATTTACTGATTCTCCCTTGTAGGAATACAAAATGGAGACGGGATGGAGGAATTAGAAGTAACAAATAACATTAAATATTTAGGGGCAAACTTGCCTACTAGGGAAAATGGGATAAAGAAACAAGTACCAATTCAGGGGTAAATTATCGTTGGATAGTATTAATGTGTGTTTAGCAAAGGCACCAAATATACAGGTCATATTATTATAACAATTTCATACTTCACTAATAGAGTCCAGGATGATGACATCTGAGCAAGTGTTAGGTTCTCAGATAGGCCTTTGCTCCTTGGAGGTTGTTAGTTCAAACAGAAAATCCAAGAGGTACACTGTATAAAATCATTTTCTCCAAATAACCGAACAGCAGTAGATACTGCATGTTTTAAAACAAAATGCAAGTAGACACACAGTATATGCATGATATCCAAATGTGACTTCTCATTTTCTATGAACTAATATGCATGTAAATATTTGTGTGTGCATGTGAATGGGTTAACAGAAGATGTACAAAGACAGCTAAGTGAAAAGTGAACAAATACAATTCAACAAATCTTGTGTCTTGTGGGATATTTTATGGGCATGAATGAAGTTACTGTACCTGTGAATTGCTGCTGAAGGTAGACATGTCTGCGGACAGGAACAGTCATCTTGCGACCACGATATTTCTTGTATACCAGTAACAAGTCCAGAATGTAATCAGCCCCATACTGAGGACTCAGTCTGTGGTAACCATACAAAATTTCACGATATTCGATCACACGACCACGTTGCTTAGAGTACATATTTATCATTTCCATTACCTTAAAGAGGAAAAATTTTGTAATTACACAAGTGTACCTGAACTGACAGCAGGAGTCATGTTTTCTACTTCCATTTTCCTTTTGCAATATGCACTAGGACAGTTATTCTCAAGTGCAGCAAGTACCTACTTACCAGAACATTTATAGCATTAGGTTTGTTCAAATGAAACTTGTTCAGAGTGTTCTTAGTGAAAACAGCCAGTTTCAGGTGATTGTGTAGCAGTGTGCATGATCCTAATTTTCTCAGACTCAGTGATGAAATAAAAGTAAAGTAAAAAAGAAGTAAAGGTATCCCTATAACAGGCTGTGGAAGCCCACATTTTCTAGACAATCAGCTCATAGATGGCAGCAAGGTTGTCAGCCTAATTTCCAATTGGGTTTAACTTGAACCACCACAGAAAACAACTGACCAGATTTAAGGTGCTAATCAAGTTTTTTTCATAACTTTGTGTTTTCTATGGGTGTACAACTCACACTATAGGAAAAACAAGGATTGAGGCTGCTGAGTAGAATATTTGGACATAATGGAGGAGCTGACAAAAAATGGAGGAAGCAGGATGATAATTAGGACTTCATAATTTGTATTCTCTATCACAGTGATTAAATCAAGGAGGATGAAATGAGAGGGCATGTAACAAGCATGGGAGAGATGTGAAATGCAGAGAGAATTTAGTTAGGAAACCTAGAAGAAAGGGAGAATTTGGGACACCCTGGCATGAACAGGAGGATAATATTGAAATCAGTCTTACAGGAACAACACATAAGGATGTGTACTGTATTAATCTGGACTAAGGTAAAGTCCAATCATGGGGTCTGGTTTGATATGGACATGGAATGTGTGACAGTCTCTAATTTTGATCACTGTGTATAATCTTTCCATTGTGGATCTTCCCTAATATGTTCCTGTGCAACTGATAGCCTCTGAAGGTATCTGTATAATTTGCCCACAGGCTACAGTGCATCTCTGTGTACAGCTGGTATTGTAACCTCATACAGCACATGTACTGGTAGTCTGGTGTGTGGTGGTGGGTGCTGCTCATTGTTGGTTTTATCTCACAGATGGCAGCTGTGGCTGTTACCAGCAGGCAGTTGGCAAGTTATTGGGAAGTGGTATTGAAGGTTGAATATCCATACAGTATAAATTTCTTCTGTAGTGGGGGGGGGCCCAGTAACTTGAGGAGTATCTTAGATAAACGGTGCCGGGATGCTGTGACTGAGGGGCAGTCAAAGAATACTCATATGTGTCCTGTGGTTCCTGGGAACTAAGAGCAGTTACCTGTGGTGTGATGACTCTGCTGTGTAATATTATCCAAGCAGCATCTCCAGCTTTGCTGAGAATAGACTGCCCCCACTTAGGTGTACCCATTTGCCAGTGACATTCCCCATTTAAAATTACGTTTTCATGAGAGGTTAACAGAAAGAATTTTCTGTAGGTCATATTTCTGGGTAAGGGGAGGGGATTCAATTGGGTGTTTGATGGCAAAAGAAGCAGAGTGTAATATAACGGGATTGTTCTGCACTGTGTTGGAAAGTACATTGTCATTATGCAATATCCACTTGTCCAGCCATAGGTTTTAGTCATTTTTAATGACTGCACTGTTGTAAGTATTCTAAAATTTAAAAGTATAATGTTTATTTTGTAGAAAAAATTGATTTGAATAATTCCTGTGATAGCAATGAAAGGAGATGATTTGGACCTATGATTCAAACATTCACACTTTTTTCAGTTTCAGAGATTACGGATTTTTCTGTCCTAGACTTTGTCATTTTGTTTCTTTGCCATACTGGAAGAACAAATTTTCATCAAAAGTTATATTTTATCCAAAAGGTCCGTTTTTTCGAAGTCTTGCTCAATGGTCTGATCAAATTTCTTTTCCCTAAACTTTTGCTTTCCTTAGATTTCTCAGCTTCATTTTGGCAGAGACTTTGTTCATATTTATATCTCCGATAAAAGTTAATCTTACAGTTTCTGCATTCCTGTTCAGTTGTTCAGCTGCTTTCCAGACAGTAAAGTGGGAATTATTTTCCACCATTTCGGTCACTTTCCCACATACTGCCCAGTTCTTGAAGGTGACAGATCTTTTGTTGTCTAGCACACCTTCATTTATCATGAAATTGCTCAATCAGTATTGAAGCCTACCTTCTACCTATTCCTTCCTTTCCATAAACTTGCTGCAAAAGTATGTAAAATGCAAATGTCATTTTAATTCAGATTTGCTAAAAATTTTAAGTTATTTGTCTTTTTTAAAAAACGATCGTCCATGGTCCTGACAAACGAAACAATGTGCCAAGAAAACACACTAAATCTTACTGACATGCTGACACAAAACTGCTGAATCACATAGCTATATGTAACAATGTGCACTAACTAATCAGTTACTGCACAGATGCATCAGTCCAGTTATTTATTTACCAGACCTCATACACAGCTTATATTAAATACAACTGCTCTGCCCCTTTGGTTAATTAAGCATCATACTATGAAAGGCTGAAGTGGAGTATAGGTATAGCTCCTTGCATCCTTAACATTTGGCTCTGGAGGGAGAGTGGTCAGCTTCATGTCAAGGCTGCTTTATCCCTGGAGAAAGTGTCCTTGGTACTATTTGGATAGAAGGTTGAGTGGGCCGGCCCCAGGGCCGGTCTAGACACAATGGGAAAGAGAAAAATCTCTGCCTCTTCTGGCAATCAAATGCCTATCATCTAACTTGTAGGCTAAATTAATACATTAAAATTCCAATTTAATTTTCTTTAACATCATTTTTTCCCTCATTTAATGTAGTTACAAGGATCCCAAATCAATAACATTAATACTAAATTACATCATATTTAAGATTTTCCTCAGTTTAGTGTTCAAATCCACAGTTCCTGAAGGACATCTTAAATAGGGTTTTGCTTTTATACTGACTGATCTGTCCTGACTTCTGAAACAAATGGAAGACCTAAGAGAAATATTATACAAACATTTACCTCCCGGACAACGTCATCCAGGCCTTCCTTCAGTGGAGATTCAATACGACGTCGGGGATTGGTATTGCCAGCAGAGTAGAGGGAGCGTGAAATAAAATCCCATGTCAGGACTTCTCCTTCTGAGCGAGGAGTAAATTTATTTAGACCAGGTTCCAAACCTGCAACAAAGAGACAGTGTTGATTTTCATGTGGGGTTCTCATCTAGCCAAAAATGTCTAGTTCAGCCCACTGTGAGGGAATGTTGGCTGAAACTTATAACAGACAATAGCAGTATACCTTGTATTTTAGCAGTTAAAACTTGGAAGTAACAACTGTATGTATGACACATACATACATTTGAACATAAAAGCTGTATATTTTGTTAAATACTAGGAATTATAAACCAGATTTTCAAACCATCACTGGTACCTAAACATATTGCAGTAAGAAATGATGATACTTGCTAGACAATGAGTATGTTAACTCAATCAGTGAAGCTTCTGACTTGCATTCAGGTGGCAACTGGTTCGAAACTTGGCTGGTGCACCAGTTATTGTGACGAAGGTATTCTGTGATTTTCCTCAGTCCCTCAGGCAAATATTGGGATAGTATCTCAAATTAGGAAATGGCTGCTTTCTTCCTGATAGTGTTGTTATGTAAACCATAAGAAATATAGACTTGTTACAGAAATATTATCTTACCATAGAGAATAACAGACAGTAAGGAGAACTGATGACAGGCAACTGATATCAGCAGAAATGCATTTCATGAGGAGTACTAAAGGATGCCCCTAAGGTAAAGAAGTAAGAGGTAAAGTTATTCCTAAACTTAATTATGAAGTTAAGCACCATGCCATGAAGACATACATGGGAATGGAAGTATAGCTTCACGATTCTTGAACCTAACACTAGAAAGAGGTGAGTGGTGATCAGCTTCACACCCTAGCCACTTTAATCCTGGTACCCATTGGAGAGAAGGCTGGGTGGGCCTAAAGTGCAAGTCTTATTGCAACTGAGAAGAGAAAAACCTCTTGCCCTTGTTGGGAATCAAACTCCAGTCCTCCAGCCTGTAGCCTAGTTGCTACAGTGACTGAGCTATCCCAGCTCCTCTTCAGACCATAAAGGGATAGGAGAATTTATGAGAGAATTACAAATTCCACAAATAACAATCTACTGGATACAGAAAATGGAAAGAATATGTTCACAGGATGACCTCTGAGAGAATTAGAAAGGATTAGCTCAAAATATCAACCGAATGGAAACGGAGGCTTCAGAAAACCTCTGTAGCAACAGAAGGATTCTTTCTGTTTTGTAATATCTGTAACAGGTCCAAGAGATGCTGGTGATGATGAGTATTTATTTTCTGTATCAGTCCATTCAAACTCGTTAATATCATTCCTCTGAGGCAGTTCCAGTCTTACCTAACATAGCTGTATCTCCAAGGAACATTTGGCTTCCCATTTTGTCAGGGAAGAGAGGCACATTACTGCCTAGCATCATTGTCTCTGCTGCATTAGATCTGTGGCCAAGTAGCGTCATCATGTTGGCAATGTCACGGTGAAGTGCTAATGCCCGTTGCTGCAACTCTTGGATCTTCAGACCCTGTATGAGCACAAGAGCATAAAAGTAAGTTATTTATTTATATATATATATATAAGTAAAAGTAAAAGAAAAAGTTGCTGTGAGATGGTTATAAAAGACTTTTATTGATATCACTTTCAAGCTAATTCACCCCCCCCCTTCCAAATAAACATGAAGTCCTGGGTAACTGTGAAAGGGCATGTCCTAAGAGAAAGACGTGTAGAGTCAGAACTTCTAAAAAAACAAGATCAAGAAACAATCATAACTGACCAACCCTCTCATATGCACTTAAAAAGAAAAATTTAAATACGTATATATATTCAGTACAAATTAGAATAAAAGTAAGACAGTAGAACTAAGGTCTGGCTAATAGTAATAAAGAGGTACTGCATTACTTTGAATAATCTGTTATTATTTCCTAAACAATGGAGTTTTTTGTTGTTTTTTAATTCGCTTAGTGGCGGGGGGAGTCCAACTGGGTCCACTCAGCACGTCAGCCACTGAATGGCCTATTGTAGCCTGCCCTGGGTGATTATGATGATGGGCGAATTTGGGCGAATGAAGAATGGCAGGGGAAACCGAAGTACTCAGAGAAAACCCGCCTCAGCCCCACTTTGTCCACCGCAAATCCCACTTGATGAGACCCGGGATCGAACCCGAGCTGCCACGGTGGGAAGCCAGTAACTAACCGCTTGAGCTATGGCGTGGCCTTAACAATGAAGTTACTACAAAACCACCAAATTACTGAATATATATAAAATATAAAAGGAGATCGGTCTTCGGTTTTATAACTAGTTTAATAATGCTGAATACTTTCAAGAATATTATCTTCTGGGTTATAACACCATGTAGCCCAAGCAAGGTACCAGTGTGAAAGCAGGTGGCAAGCTGAGAAGTGAGAACCAACTTGCCACCTGCTTTCACACTGTTGCTCGGTTTCTTCAACCTTGAAGATGGAAGCGATATGTTCCTGCGAAACGTCGAACGACTGTCAATGAACTACATGGTATAATGTCCCAAAAGATGGTACTCTTCATAACTACCGATATCTCAAATCCTACACTGAATTCTTTTAGTTGATCAAATGCAATTATATTCCAAATTCATTGACACACACCCACACAGAAAAAATATTAGTTGAAGTATATATTATTTTTAGTTTACTGGGTCCCTCGGTACTTTTTATTGATATGTCATTGCTCATATTTTCATCTAGAATTCAGTATTAGAAATTAAAAACAGTTACTGTCATTACTTTGACAAGACAAATAGTACTAACCCTTTCCATGCTACATACATACTTTCATCAACACATTCTCTGACAAGTTACATCAGGTTTCTTACAGGTGAACAAATACATACTTTGACACTTCTTTATTCTCAGCAAAGAAAGGGATAAAATCAACTTCCAAATGGCAGAGTAAACAGTAAATCTTATTGCTTTGACAGGATAGCTCAGTCAGTATAACAACCAGACTAGGTGCTGGATGACTGAGGAATTGGAGTTCGGTTACCAGGAAAGGCAAAAGATTTATCTCTTCTCCATAATGTGTTCAGGCTGGCTTTTTAACCAGTCCAGCCTCCTATACAGTGGTTACGAGGGTCTATTTTTCCAGGGGTAAAGAAGCAATGGCATGACATTGACCACTCACCTCCACCTAATGCTGAGGTCAAGAATGGTGGAGCTATAGCTCCACTCCACCATACGTCTTTATGGAATGCTGCTTAACTAATTAAGCACAGGAATAATTTTACCTTTGATACCTATACTCTAGCAAACAGGTCCAACTTCTGGGATATAATGCCATATAGTCCACATGGCTCTGCTTCCTGCCTGTTTTAGGCTGGTTCTTGTTCCCCTTATTTTTCAACCTTTAAGATGGTGGCGACATCTTCCTCCTAACATTGATGGACTTTCAACAGACTACAGAGCATTATGGCCCAGGAGACAAAATTCTTCATAACTATCATTATGAGAAACTTATACTATACATATTATCCTACACAGACACCAGTGTTTTCTTAAAATGCACATTAATTGTAATCATACTGATCAATGCTATTCAGTGAAATCTGTATCTACTATCTTTTACTTACCTCCCTACTAGTCCACGTGATTGCATAAAAGGAATAACCAAATATTTAATGAATGAATGATTTTGAATGCTGGAAAAACGAGTTTTGTTTGCAAAACCCAATTAACAGCAGAGCTGCTAAATCAGGAGTTTCGGAGAATAAGTGCAAGATTTTAGTTTGTAGGTGTTCTAAAGGGCTGCGCCATAACTCAAGCGGTTATTCGCTGGCTTCCCAACGCGGTGGCCCGGGTTCGATCCCAGGTCTACTCAAGTGGGATTTGTGGTGGACAAAGTGGCGTTGGAGCAGGTTTTCTCCGAGTACTTCGGTTTCACTTGCCAATTTTCATTTCACCAATTGCTCCAAAATCACCCTCACCTATCATCTGGGGTTGGTACAATAGGCCAGAAGTGGCCACATTACAAGGGACTTAGTCCCACCCCACTAGCAATAAAAGAAAGAGAGGTGTTCTAAAGGAACCCTTGCTTACTTTCATATAGTTGTGCACTCGGTACATATGTTGATGTTGCTTGACAGGATGCAGTGTAATGGCACGATGGACCTCCTTTTGCTTTAAATTTCCAGTGAAGGCATCATGTCCACTTGAATTGTGATATAAGATTGTCTGCATCTGCAACACAATGCCATGTCTAGTACATGATTTTATGGTAATAATTAGCATGCACCAACAGAAATGAAACTGATAAATGGTCAAAAACATAAAAGTTTAATAACTTGAAGTTATGGAAAGACTGAGGTAGGAAAACCAAAAGATATTAAGTATCATAAAAGCAAACAGTACAAAGATGTAGTTGACTAATAATTACTTTTTAGTTTGCCAGTTTTCAGTTTGTGTTTACACATCAATGTTGGATTAAGTTAATGGAGTCCCGAGGGGGAATGCAGTTCTGCAGACACTGCGGTAAATTTCAAGGGAAATTTTTGTGCAGTACACCAAGTGCAAACGCCTGTGGTGAACTATATAGACATTAAATTAGAGGCAGACCTAAATCACAGTACTATTCATTTATTTCATTATACATTCTATTGGCCTTCTTTTTTAGTTTTGGAATATATAGTCCCCCCTACTCATTAGTAAATTGGAACTATTGCTATATGTATTGGTTTTGGTTCCTTCGAAATGATTACTTTTATGTTTTCATGCTGTGTAATTTCATAATCTGTAGTCTATTTCTGCTGATATTTTTACGTTCCATTGCAACACATAGGTGGGCAATGGTATGCTCTGCATGTTCATTGTTTTTAACTGATAACGTTTTCTTTCTCTCTCAGGGATGTGGCTTTTTGCTTATACATGATAATATCAATTAAATTTCCTTCATGGCAAAAAGTTGTAAAACTGGGAAAACTCAATAAATAGCATTCTATAGCAGTTCAAATTGCATGCAGTTCTCCCTCACCCCCAAAGATGTAGAATAACAATGTGCACCATCCTGTGCTGCCATCTAGAGGATTTTTTTTTTTCAGCAGAGGTCTATATTGTATATAAATGAGCTTCGTTAAAAATGCCGAACGTATTCTTTCACTCCTCTTCACCTGGTAACGGAACAACGTAATAGTCAGTGTCTATTTCACCACTAAATGGCAAAATATGCGGATATCATGGAGAATTCTTGTTTCATCCATGAAATCACGACAAACGAAACTGCGATGGAAATGTTTCGGCCCTTTACATAATGATGGAAGCAACCTTATCAATGGAATCACATTTATTTCCTGGTGTGCATCCGGTGTAATGTCTTTCTTTTTTTCAGGAGCAGTGGCGTACCGTGCATGGAAGCATTGCTTCCGTAGTTAAGAAACGGAAAAAAAGTCATATATAAATAATTCAATTTGAATAATAAGGATATGAATATTGTCATTTAGCGCGTGTTCCTGCTCAAGGCTACATGCCTTCTCCTTCCCCTTCTTGGTGGGACGGACCAAGTTTCCTTTCGTTAATCTTCGTAATAATTTGTTTAATACGAAGGGGCCAAGGGAAGCAAATTTCGGTTTGCTGGCTAGGCCAGCGAAGGAATGTTTTCTTTCGATGGTTATGTGAAAATTAACTGTGTATGTGTGATTTCAGCCTTGTTGGGTGTTATAGGTAACATTAAGTTTTATTAAAATATTGTAAGTGCATATTTATATGGCGTAAGATTGTATCTGTGATCGTATTTTGACGCATCAGAAAGAAGCTAAACAAGCAATTGTGTGATATTGTGGTACAAGGGCAGGGGCGTGATTAGACTACACGCACAGGCCACAGCTAAAATGAATGCTGGCAGACAACGTGACTGCGACTGTGCAATCGAAAGCCTTTTAAAACGGGAGTTTAGTAGCAGGGACTTTTCGGAAAAGAAAATAATTATAGAAAGAGGCCGATTGACATGCGAGTTGCCAGAACTTGATGCACAAACCAAATTATGTGTGAGGGAATTTAATTTGGAACAGTATCCTAAAACAGAGTGGCTATCCGGTTGCGGTAATATAACAAAATTGTTTTGTTGGCCATGTCCGTTGTTTCTCATTGAAAAAAAAATTATATGGAACAGGACTGGGTTTGGTGATATCAACAATCTTCATAAAGCATTGAAACTATATGAGAACTCTCAGGCTCACATTATTTCAACAATGCAACTTGTTATGTTCGGGAAATCTCGAATTGACTGTCAACTTGACAATCAAAAGCGCCTGACGATACTACAGCATAATGAAAATGTGACAGAAAATAGGGAAGTAATGAAACGCTTGACTGATATCATCTGCCATTTAGGAAAGAGGCAATTTGCCCTCCGCGGTCATGACGAAAGCGTGGATTCTATCGGCCGAGGTAATTATGTGGAATTAGTTCACTTGTTGAGGAAATATGATCCTAAACTCAATGTTCACCTTGAGAACAGTACAGTATTTACAGGTTTATCGAACAGAATACAAATGACCTTACTGACTCAATTAGTGACGTAAAATTTGGTGAGTTGATTGCTACCAGTTCGTTTGTTAGATACCACTGCTTTCCTTACCAAAAATAGTACCGCACGTCACTATGCATAAGTATTGTAGCTAACACTGTAAAGTGTTGACGTTTGTGATTTCTCATACTTACATCCTTTGGTAACCCCCAAAAATTACTTAATAAGACACTCCATGACTCTGATTGACAAAAAGTTACATTACTACAGTTATTTCTTCTACACGCGATGACTGTGTTCTCGAAAAATGCTGCGTTACAGAAAAATCGCGTAAGGAAGGCTAAGGATTCAAAAGGCACAAACCGAATGTGCAGTTCCTACATGTTGGATTGCTTCATATAAAAATTTGCCAATTCTTCAGCAGTACACAAAGAGACAGTTTTAGGTCCTATACTATTTTTTTGCCAGTTTTTGCTATGCTGAGCCCTAGAGTGGCGGAGAGTTGGGATAGCTCAATTAGTGTAGCGACTAGGGCAAGGCTGGACGAACGAGGAATCGCGTTTCGATACTCGGCATAAGTGAAGATTTTCTTTTATCTTTACGACGAGACCGGCTCTGGGGTCCACTCAGCTTCTGTCCAATGGGTACAGAGAACTTCTTCCTTAGGGCTAAAGCGGCCGCCGCTGTGTGAAACTGACCATTCATCTCCATCTGGTGCCGCTGTTAAGAATACCCGTACGTGGAATTACATCTCAGCTTTTCCATACCACTTCATGACGTGGCGTTTAATTAAGCTCAGGGACAACTCTACCTTTTAACTTCCACCTACACAAGCGATCATACATTTTGTCAAATTTGTTTTCGAGCTGCACATTCTGCCTAAAATAAAATGTAGTAGTACATTATGTTCTATTTCAGCATACTGTAGTGAGCCGGGATAGCGTAGTCGCTATAGCGACTAGCTACGGGCTGGACGACCGTGGTCGGTTTTCGAGTACCGGTACGGTCAATAATTTTCTCTTTTCCACGTCGTCCAGACCGGCTCTGGGATTCACCCAACCTCCTATTCAATAGGTACCGGAAGCTCTTTCCTCCTAGGATAAAGCGGCCGCAGCGTGAAACAGACCACTCACCTCCAACTAGTGCTGAGGTCAAGAAAATGTGGATCTATACACCCACTCCCCCATACGCCTTCATGATGTAGTGCTTAATTAGTTAATTTCAGGGACAACTTTACCTTTTACCTTTCAGCATGCTGTTGCACTCGTTAATGATTTAATTTGCAGGGCAGTCTTCAAGTGCACCTTCTTGTGCTCGTGGGCTATTGATGTGCTGCATTGATATATTTTTATAAATGTTAATTCTACGACATGTTTCGACCTCACGAGGTCATTATTACGCAGATTATTTTTACATAAGCACTGAAACAATGTATCGCTTATGTAGTTCACTGCTGTTGCTCCTCCAAGACTGCCCCTGTAAGTTAAAACAATATTATACTGCCCACAGTGGGTAAAGAGATCGGGCTCTCTCACTGCCTAATATCTTATGATACCTATAAAAGTATTGAAGAGAAAATATAAACACAGAGATATTGGGTTTTCGGACTTTATCCATCGCCCTGGTTTCTAAGATAACTAAGAAAAACACGACGTTTCGGAAACTGGATCTATTTCCGTCCTCAGATGAGGGAAAACACCTATTCTGTTGGGTCCCTTAGAAAGAGCTAGCCTCAATCACTGGTACTGTTTTTTTAAGATAACCAAGAAAAATACGACGTTTCGGAAACTGGATCTGTTTCCGTCCTCTTTCTAAGGGACCCAACAGAATAGGTGTTTTTCCCTCACCTGAGGACGGAAACAGATCCAGTTTTAGAAACGTCGTGTTTTTCTTAGTTATCTTAAAAACCAGGACGATGGATAAAGTCCGAAAACCCAATATTTCTGTGTGTTATACACCATCGTCAGAATCCTATAGTAACTACTACAAAATATAAACATTTAAAATTAATATACGAGACATACGTATACAGGAGCCAACCGCCAATTCTTCTGCATGCTTCATCACTGTCAATGAGGGCTGATGTCGGAGGGCACGAACCAATCCGATTCGTGCTCTCAGAGGTCATCACGGTAGTCCTACACTTGTTCGGTCATATGAGGATCTCGGAATTTTAGGATGTGAGTTGGTGACGGCTTGGTTGCTCGCGAACTTTCACCAGGAAGGTTAATGGTTCCATGAAAACTGAAACGTGTTTTTGTAGGACGATATGAGCATAATACTTTCGATGCAACGTGAAATATGGACAATTTAAAGAATTTTCCTCGTTTTCAGTAACATTTTTTAAAGAATTTACGTACAACTAAACTAATGCATCATGCCTTAGGATTATTTCCCAACTCGTATTCGAGAAGCTTAGACCCTTCAGCCCTATGTACGACAATAACATTCCATAATCCACTTTTTCACTAAACGGTATTAATGGTAATGGGAGGCTGGATTCCGGGCCAAATCGTGTGATGCAGTTTGCACTGTTGGAATGTCAGAATGCATAAAACATAATATAATTGTAGAGTGGTGAGCACTCCGGTTTCGTATTCAGGAGATACTGGGTTCAAATCCCGGCCAGGAGACCGGCTCCTGACTGTATGCAAAATTGTCATTTTTATGTATCATGGTAATTTATAAAATATGTTTGGTCACTGTGAATAATCAATAG